CGCGGGACCACGCGGGACCACGCGGGACCACGCGGGACCACGCGGGACCACGCGGGACCACTGCGAGCCGCTGCAGCTCTCCCCGACAGTAGTGCCACCACAGGCGCCTGAAGGCTAATGGCTGGCAAGCCCACCAGCAATCCAGCAGCACCTGCACTGCGCAGCTCTGCCAAGGGAACTCCAGTCCCGAAAGAGAGTGTTTAAAAACTACACAGCTTTGCACGATAGTAAATACCATTAACTATACTGTTACTGTTATTGCCAGTTTATAAAAAGACTGCTTATATGTTTACAAAGGACTCACAAATATATGGCAAAGCTCTGCATAAATGGTAACTGTCCATATTCGTAAACTGCTATCTAAATAACCCAGTTTATTTCAGAAAGTCAATTAATTCTGTCCAAATGCCCCTTGCGTTCCTGCTCACTGAACAGAATTTAATAAAGATTTTTCTAGTTCAAGTACTCCAATTCACAAACTTGTTTGAGTCACCAGTCTATCCATCTATCCATTTTCTAACCACGTCATACAATTAAGGGTCTCAGGGAAGCTGGAACCAATCACACAATTGGAGTAAGATGGGGTACACCCTGGAGAGGAAGACAGTCCATCGCAGGGCAGACACACAGACACACACACGCACACACTTGACTCCAGGGCCAATTTTCTCACAAGCCAATTAATTAACCTACCGTCATGTCATTGGACTGTGGGAGGAAACCAGAGCACCTGACGGAAACCCAGGCAAACCCGAGGACAACATTCAAACTCCACACAGGCAGCACCCCAGGAATTGAACCCAGGGCCCCAGAACTGTGAGGCAGCAACGCTAAACACTTAACTTGAAATTCCCACTTAACCTTAAAGCATAAGGCTTTAATTTATGTGGGGTATTCCTATTTTCTTGCTGGCTGGTAACCAAAACGAATAAGAAAACTACAGATAAAACAGCATTCAGATAATCAGCTGTAATCAGATTACTTCATCTGAAAGCAGAAAGAGAAGAACAGACATGCTACATGCAATAAGACGAATCAGAAAGATCGATCTCAATAAATGCATCAAGAACTAAAGACTATTGGTTATTGTAACTCTACATGTTTTACATGCCTTTAGTTTCCAATCCAGGTAAAATCATATCTCCATGGCCATCTGGAACACTAGTTCTAACAACTTCCTCTCATCAATGCCGAGTAAAACTAGAGTGAGGTTCGATTCTACAACCAAGGGGAATTTCCCCAAATCTGAAATATCAATCATCCTAAAAGTGGAAAGATTTTATACACAGATTCAGACTGCATTCCGTGTGGCGGAAAGAGGTTTGAAACTCCTGCTGGAAGGGGAGAAAAGACCTGGACACGTCCCACACGCAGGAGTTGACCACGAGCACGTCCGGCTGCGGTCCGGCCCGGAAGTCCGCCAAGATGCTCTCCATGTAGCGGGAGTAGATCCGCGTCAGGAAGTAGAAGCGCACCAAGTGGTGATCGGTGCGGAACTGGCGGACCTCCCTGTAGTTCGTCCCATTGGTCATCTGGCTCTGGACACCTCCTTCCACCAGACAGTCCTGCTCAAAACTGAGCTCTCCCTGACATGCACAGCCAAGCAAAAAACACTCCATTCAAATTACATGCTTGCAATCAGCCGAACAGCTTTAGAATATTTTCCCCCTATTACCTCTTAAAATAATACCAGCCCTCTTTTAAAATAAACTACTCAAAACACCTTAACCCTTTCCCCCTAAATGGGGTCAGAAGAGAGAGTAAAAAAAAGCAATCATAGATTACAGACAATTTGCATAAATTAAATCAATATATTCCTGTCTTGTTTCATCACTGCTTTAAGATCAACGGAAAAGGACTGGCACCCAGTCCAAATGGGAGAAACATTTTGTCTCCCAGGACTAGTAGGTAATAGGGCTCTTTACCTTGCATTTCAGCTGGGCCACCGACAGAAAGCTGTCCTTCTGTAGCAACATCACAAGGTCTTTGTAAACTGAGCGCTGAACTGAAAGTTAAAACATCTGAATGTATCAACAGAGTCACGCAGTTCATGCACAACAGTATGAGTAACTAGTTAACTGATGCCAGAGGACCTTTATTAGCTGCTAGTGACATCTGATGTTTAGACTTCTGAGCCAAGGCTGAGTAACACTTTGCAAGCCCAAAGTAAGGTTTTAAGAGATCTTACCCTGGCTTGTTGCTTTCCTAAAGCTAGCATGATGTGCTCTGTGCTGCTGTCTTGGCACAGTGCTGTCTCTCTGATGCACAACTGAAAACAGCCGTGTGTTGTACTGCAACAGTCAAGGCAGGAAGTAATACGATACAAATGGATATACAGGTACAGAACAAGGATGTATCTATTCCGTAAGTGCAAAAATAAACATGGCTCTCAAACAGACTTCAGAACTAAACATTCAAGATGTCCATAAATCTGCAAAATGTCAAAATGAGCCTCCTTGCTGTGCTACAGGGTTGAGAGCGACAGAGACAAGACAGAGCTAAAACAAGGACAGAGGAGCCTGCGTTGTGGTCCATCTAGAATGAAGTCCAGAAGAAAACAGAGCTGGCTGTGCAAGAGCCTTGAATACATTAGCTTGGCCATAATTAAGTACCAGCATTGCAGCGAGAGTTCTCTCCACCTAAGGAAACACTGCAAATAGCATTTAACAGGCAACAGCTGGCAATGTATGTTTCCGATTTATACAAGTGCTGGAAAAAACATATTGCTTCTCTGTTTGCCAGTATACAATAATGTTTAGAAAAATCATTTTGCAGTTGCTATCTAATAGTAGACTCATGTAGCTCATAAAGCAATACTTAGAATATTGTAAATCGATTATTAAATGCTGCACAGAAAAAAAAAACTGCATTTTATTTACAAAAAGGCAAAAATGTGACCGAATTCAGATGGGCACAACTCCTTTTGTTGGATCTGGACCTTGAACCCCCCAAAAAAAGCTTTATTCCAAAATCATTCAGTCAATGATAACCGTCAGCATTCAAAAGAGAAACTCGGAAACTCTACTTATACAGCCCGAACCATGTCAGCACAAGCTCAGGCACTCAGATGCTTCCCTGCTTCATTCAAGATGAACACAACTGGCTCCAGTGCCAAAAGCAGCCTGAGAAGCCTAAACAGAACTGAGCAGATGGTGAACCTGCCCTGTTTAGTGCTTAGTGTGCTTGGACTCAGCCAGAACAAGACTGGAAGTGGCCGTGGAATAGGGCATAGAAATGGTTACAAACCATTACAAACCAGATTGGCCCATCTAGCCCATTTGATAGTTAGCAGATAGTTGGACAAGATCTTCGGATAAATTGTTTTTGAGAGAAGCCAGGGCACCAGCTTCAACCACATGGCTGGGTAGCTTGTTCCAAACTCCCACATGTGGAAGTGAACTTAAAACTAGAATTGCAATCTCTCATATGTTCTAAAAAATATATTTTCCACTTTTTGGAAATATGGAATCCTTTATCTTTCTTAAAAAAAGAACTATAATTCTTATTGTTAATGTATTGATAATGGGTTCCATTAAAAACCCATTGGATCATGGATCGTAAAAACAATATTCTGAATGGGTATACATAACTATCTGGTTATTTTCAAGATGCAGATCCTATACAAAAATATAAAAAATATATGGCTGATAGTTCAATAGATTATTGATTTAAAATTGGTTTATTAAGACGCAGTGAAAATAGTCTTGTGTTGTAATAATGGCTTCGCCAAAATAATGATAGAAGGTTAAATGCAAATCTGGACATGGATGGCAGAAATAATACTCTCAGTTAGTTTTTTAACATTGCTACTGTAAAAACACACTCCCTCTTCATTAGATAATGCATTTTCTTTTTAATATTAGTGTTTCTGGAAATGGATTTCTATAGGAAAATACTTTATTTATGTTTTACCACAAAACTCTGAAAAACAGAATCCTCTCTCTTCTTAATATTTGAACTAGGTTGTGTACAAATCACTCACTTCAGATGACAGAGGTGAAGTCCAGATGAATTATACCGGATTGCATTTCGGAAACTGTCACCAAACAAGCGTGACTGCTCCGTCCCCCACACTACATCTGCCCCCTGACTATCAGCTCGCCTGCGAGGCCAGACATCGATGTCTGTTCTGCTGTGCGCATGCGCGCGACTCCAGCCACGCTCTTTCAGTGCTGTGTGACTGAAGGAGACGAGCCGCTGTACAATCGCCATAAAGAAAACCACTCACTGGAGTCCCCAAGAACCACCACAAACTTGTTGTGCAGAAGATGACAAGCCTGGAGTTGTCTCACTTGCTTCATGCCTTCTTCCAATCCAGGACACTTCAAGTAAGAAGCTAAAAGACACTGCAAAGTAATAATTAATATATTTATACCTTCGTGGTGTTCCAGCACATAACAGAGAATGTAATGGCAAGTTCTAAGATCTATTGTGAGTGGTTGATGAAAGGTTAACATTATCTAAGAGATTTCCTCCCCACCCCAAGGAAGGGAAACTGTGTTCCTTTCAAATGTCTCCTTTAGCGATTAAGATAATTGGGACAAAGAAAAGGCCTGTTCTTTCAAACACGACATCCACAGCAGCACCTAAGGGAGAGTTTTACTATAAGAAATCTATACATAAAGCATATTTCAGGACACCAAGAAACCTTCAGAGGATCACTAAACTAAACTGAAGATAGGAGCTCCACATCAACACCTTACACTATGCCAAGAAAGAAGCTGAACTGTGGTGCCCATTTAGAGACCAGAACTAAATTAGTAAATGCATCCTGTGGAAAAAGCCAATATACTGACTTTTGCCAAAGTCACTCCTTTCCTAACTTGCGAAAAGACCTATAATGAAATGTCTGCATGCAACACTAAATGCAAATACCATTCCCAATTAACTATTCCAAATCACCTTTTAATTAAGGTGCTCAAAAAAGTGGCTTCACTAAGATTTTTACAATGTCTGCAAGGACGTGTCTTTGTCATTGAAACTTCTGCCAGTGCTACACACAAGCACAACCAGAATCATTTAGCACAGACTGGTTTAAGCAATTAACCCACAAATAACTGAATAACTACAAGTCTGAATTCAAGACTGCTCTGCAATCATGACAAAATTACACTCAGGAATTTAAATCCGAACATAAGGTCAACATACCTGTAATCCAACACCAGAATTACTCAACTGGATAAGTGGATCATGCCCCACAACTTTATTCCTCAGCACCAGGGAGTTTTATTAATCCAAAGGGATCTTGAAAAACTGTATATTTCCTTCTCAATCATCGTGTCAGAAATCCCGGCCTTTTTCTCTGCTGCATTCTTAACTAAACCCTCCCCACATGACTGACCTTGACAGCTTTTACAGCCCCAGCAGTCAAAACAGGCTTGGGTGATAACAGGCACTCCTACACCAAAAAAAAAAAAAAAGTTATAGTTTATTTGTAAGAAAATAAGTGAAATCAACTATTTATAGAACTTACTGTGATTACTATAGCACTTCCCCAAAGAAAAAAGATTCTGAGATGGAAGTGAACGTAACCTCACCTCTTAATGGCAATTCATGTTACTGTCATACTCTAAGCATGATGACTTTTGCTGCTGGGTTTTCCTACAGGTAAAATAATCTCTTGTCCAGTCAAAAGTAGACATAGAAATCCCTAACTCAGATCATGCTTGGCTGCATTCATTAACAGAAACTGTCCTTATGGGAAGACGTAGGGCTAAAGAATATTTCAACCAGTGTAAAAACTGTGACAGCTAGGTCAGGTGATTTTTCCCATTTTCAAAACCTGTGTAATTAGCCCATCTTTCTCCCCCCTTTGTGCATCTTTTAATTTTTCATTTATTGTTTGTTCCATTTCAGGAAATTAAAAATGTCAAATAAAAACCTCAAGTAAATAAGAGCAGACCTATCTTCCCCACTTTGTCCCATGGATCTCATCCAGCTGTTCCTCAAAAGATCAGAGAGCACCAATTTCAAGAGCTTTGTTATGCAGTTTGTTTCACACACCGACCACCATTTGTGTAAATCGCTGGACCTCAAACCAGTAAACAAGTGGCTCCACCAGTATAGGGTTGCAGAGGTCTGGAACACGCCACTTAGCCAATTCTTCTGAAAGGCAGATGCTGACTTCTTTCGGGAAGCAGCTGGATCAATCAATCAATCAACAATTAGCAACAAAACAATTTAGAATGGCTTTAAGGAGCTCTAAAATCACGGGCTCGAGCTTGGGGAGGACCATGTCACCAGCTAACAGTAACTAGGATTAGTTTCCAAATTCCCCTGTGAGTCCCAGAGGGAAGAGGGGGATGAGTCAGCTAGATCTCTCTCAGCAACACCTGTGGCCCTCTGGACTCTTGAAGGCATGTGGTCCTGCCTCTGATTAACACAATCCTCCTCCAATCAAAAATGAATTTGCTGCACAGTGACATACTGTCTATGAGGGACACACCTCTCCTCCAATCAGCATTGAACTTGCTGCACAGGGTGGTATTGCCTGTGACATGTTAAAAGATAAGTGCCTGGAAGAGTCTGCCCAAACTTACTCTCTTCCTTGTGTGCTGGTTTGTTGCTGGAAGCCGAGAAATGTAAAACCTGAAAACCATACAATTTGCTATTTCAAATAGGGTGAGAATATAAAAAAAAACAATTGGAAATTCTTAACTAAAGGAAAACAAGAACCCCCTGTGTTCTGTCGCTAAACCTTAATTTCTGTCAGTGTGCTTGTTTGTTGATCTTGAAAAAGCCAGTTGGTTTAAGTTCTCCCAAATCCTTCCCCAATTCTGAATATTCCTATTGAGTCTCCTTTTAATCACCTCTGAGAGGGTTAGGGCATTGTAGGAGCAAATGCACTATCACAGTGGAAGAGTCTGTCTGATGATAAATAACCACTGGTGCCACGATATTATTATCCATAAGAGTGCGCGTGAGTCTGCCATCAAGCTGCTCAGCATCGCTTTGTGTCCTTCTATTCTCGAGAGTTCTCACAGTGTTTTATAACAGTTGTTTACATCCACCCTAAAGCGAATGTAGAAAAGGCATCTGAAACTATTTTTGATGTTAACCAGAAACTGAATGCTGCATCCCCAGATGCTCCTAAATTCATGTTAGGAGATTTTAACAGTTGCACGCTAAAAAAAGCAAACAGAGTTTTTACATATTATCAATATTTGACCTGCCCTACACAGTTGAACGGAATTATCGATCGTTGCTACGGGACAATTCCAAATGCCTACTCTTTCCTCGCAAGACCTCCACCTAGCAACACAGTGCTTCTCTGGCCGATCTGTCAGCTGCTGTTCAAGAGAAACATGCCTCAGACAAGAACAGTACAGCTCCAGGACAAAACCAACTGCGCGACTACAGCATTGTTTTGACTGCATGCGATGGGATGTGTTGAGAGACACGTTGAAGGATACTGATGAACATGTTGTTGTAGTACCGGATTACATTTCTTTCTGTGTAGACTCAGTAATTCCTGCCAAACTCCTTAAGGTTTTTCCCCCCGATAACAAATGTCGGGTAATCAAAAGCCTCAAATATGTATTTTTTTAAAAAGAAAGTGTCTTTTTCTCAAGGGACAAGGAGGGCAGTTCAGAAAAGAGGTGAAAAGGGAGATCAAGAAAGATACTGATCAGTCTGAGGAAAAAAAAGAGAAGGCCACCACTACAGGTGATATTGGGCATTTGGGCGGTGTGGTGGCTCTGTGGCTTATGAACCGGAAGGTTGCCAGTTTGTATCCCGCGGCTGGCAGAGGAATCCTACTCCGTTGGACACCTGAGCAAGGCCCTTAACCCCAACTGCTCCAGGGGCGCTGTACAATGGCTAACCTTGCGCTCTGAACCCAAGCTTCTCTCTCCCTGTCTGTGTGTCTCATGGAGAGTTGGGGTATGTTGGGGTAAAAGACAAATCCCTAATACAAGAAATTGTACATGGCCAATAAAGTGATCCATCTTACATCCTTGGCCAATCTCTCTCAGAAAGGTCATGGTAATAGTGCTCCTGTGTTTGATCACATGGGCAACAGCTGGCAATTGATTTAGATGTGTTTTATACCCGTTTTGAATCCACAACCACCTAGTAGTAGTGCTGCTTTTCCAGTATCCAAAGAGTTTATTAAAATCAACATGGCAGTGGTGTTTGAACCTTTTAGGAGAATTAATGCAAGAAAAGGTGCAGGTCCAGATAATGTGTGGAAGAGTTCTGCACTTACCGACTCCCTGCAGTTTGCATACAGAGAAGGGAGAGGAGTGGGCGTCACGATACTTCCATCATTAAATCTGGTTTAACAGCATCTTGACCAAGCAAAGGCATTTGTAGGGATCTTATTTCTTGACTTTCTGCTTTCATACATCAGTACAGAACAACCACTGATGCCTGCACAGAAACTCTAAATACAGTAGATTCTAGATGTCTTAACAACCAGGTTTCAACAGGTCATACTGGGGAAATGAATCTTTGACAATCACTGCACTTCTAATGGATTGGCACAAGGCTGCCCCTCCCTGTTGTATATTTGGTACACTAACAATTGTAAGAGCAAACACACAGAGATCCCTTTAAAATTTCTGATATAACAGCCCTGGTCAACCTATAAAACACCCAGAAAATCATCACTGGCCCACTCTAAACAATTTTACTAAATGGCATGATGACTTATGTTTGAAGTTAAATGTTAAGAAAACAAAGGAACTGAATATTGATTTTAGTAAAAATGCAACACTTTTCCAATTAATAAATCTCCTGTAATTAATGGTCATATTGTAGAGGTTGTCAATGACTACAAGTACATGAGACTGGCCACAGACAAAAAGCAGTTGTGACATTTACAAATATGGCAATTTTTGTTCAGGAAACCATATAAGCTATTTTAAGGTAGATAGAACTATTTCAACACTTTTCTCCCAGTGCTCCAGTTTCCTCCCTCAGTCCAAAGACATTCTGCTAGGTTATTTGGGAGAACTGGCCCTGGTGTGAGTGCTTGTGTGTGTGCCCTGCGATGGACTGGTGTCCCATCCAGGGTGTACCCCACCTTGTGCCCGCTGCTTTCCAGAACAAGCTCCGGCTCCTCCTGGACCCTGAATTGGAGGAAAGAGAGAGAATGGATGGATGAATTGTAAAGCTTGTTTTTAGTAACCTTAAAAACAATATGCATCAGCGTTAGTGTTAATTCCTGTTAGTGCGCCTTCGTTTTACAGCACGGCATTCATTCCTATAAAGTGTTTTGTAACGGGACTGGTTGGGTTCTCATTTTCTCAATCGAGGTCGCGCTGTTCTCGCAGGACCGAGCTCGGCTGCACTCACGTGTTCGCGGCCAAAACCACGTACGAAAGTGCGACCGATTCTACAACCCAACCGAAAGTTCTTCAACTCCCAGTGGCCCTTGAAACCACCAAATAATTATCTAACATTTTAACTTTAGAAGACAAAAAAACGACAACTCTTGTCGTCAAAACTTCTGCATATCATTCATATTGATATTGCATATCAAAAGCCGCAAAAAGGAAAATAAAATATGGAGAACGCCCTGGATATTCCCTACCCCTCCTATCCGCAAAGACTATATACAATACATATCATATCATATCATATCATACGTGACATTAATAGGACAGTAGAAATGCTTAATAATTAATCATAATCATTGCTTGATTTTTTGCATCTCTCGTTTTTGTTTAAAGAATTACAGTAGAATCCTAGGCACATACGATTTCACATAAAAATCAAGTAACTGCTGACCACAGAAATGCATAAGAAAACAGAACATGCATTAGAACTCACACTTTTGGGAAAGTCTGTAGTGTTTGCAAAAGCACTTGTTTTTCAAAACTCTAGTGACTCGAGCAGCAGCTCAAATCAGGTGTAGAGCTTCGTCCGGCTCATTAGACTCGACCAATCGATCGACGTGCTCTCCGCCGGTCGGGCTGCGGTCTTTGGCGGTAACTCTGGGAAGTAGACCGCGATTTTGAATTAAAGTTTGTTGATGGCGCTTGGTTTCTACTGAAGCCGACACGTAAATTAGGATTTTTCACGTAATGTTTAGCCTTGGAAGGTTCTGTATTTTGCTAAATTTAATTATTTTTTTTCCTGTAGTGTACCTCCTGGTCTTTTTACGCTTTTACTCGGTTATTTTTTATTTTTGGTGTGAAACTTAATTCTAGTGATTAAATCGGTCAAAGCTGGTAGAAATGAAGACGGGTGTCAGTCGTCAGTTTAAGTTTTAGAAATACAGTTTCAAAAGTTCAAATAAGCTTCTTAAATAGAAAGCAGTTTCCCCGATTTTCTGACAAGAAATACTCTATATACAAGTGCTTTCTGCACACAGCCCTACATACAGTATAAAGTATTGTCTCCTGTCACTGTGGAGTGATTTCTTTTAGCTGATGCTTTTATCCAAAGAGATTTACAGTTTGTGGTAGCTTTGCATTTTGGGGGAGCATTTTTGAGTCATTTACCGTGATTAAGAATATAATACGTTTCCTAAACGGGGACTTAAACTCAACCTTCCAGTTAAAAGTCTCTACCTCTCGTTACGACTCTGCACTGTTGCCTGTGTCGATATTTAGGAAAACAGAATTCTCTCCCGAGTTTCAAGAACTGTTGCATTTTGAGATGGAATAATGTGTTGCACAAGGAGTAACTGAGGTTGCACTGCAAGTGTGGTGTGGTGACATTTCTTTCTCTTCCATTTATACGCTTATTGGTCATCTCTCATAAGAATTAGAGCATGGTCATTATTTTTCTTTTCTACACATCAGGTGTGAAATGAAAAAAATGTATTTGTTCTTTTTAAATGAACAAGGACCCATTGTTCTTCAAAATGCAGATGGCAGATCTCCAATAGTATCAGAGACTTCCCCCGCAATCTCATTCTTGATTTGCATGCAAACGTACGCATTGCTATCCAGGTCAATAATTGTGTCTTCATGTGTAGACATATGCATTAATCCTGCCAAGGCCCCTTATATTTGTTATTAAGAATTACATCATACTCCCAACTTTAATCTGCAAGAAATTGCTGTAATATGAACATTGCACATTCCGGATCCTTTCACTTTAGACACCCTCCAGGAAAAAGAGGATGCGAAGGAAGTAAGGTGACTGTCCAGCTTTTAAATTTCTTGATATTGGTTATGTAATTAAATTGAGTGTACATTTCATTCAGTTCAGCACAATTTGCTCTCTGTAAAAAGAATGAACTACCGCCAACATATCTTCCTTCTTCATTAAACAGAACAGGATACTGGGGCTGGGGGAAACAGAGATAGTTAGAAGTCCTGCATTTCTACATATTCAAGGCCATTACTGAACAGGTTGAAGACACAAAGGGAAAAGTGCCACATACTTAGAAGGCTTTGATAGTGAAGTACTCTGCCTTTACAGTGCTCATTGATGATTTTGAATTATTCTTTCTCTGAACATTTGTTTACCACTCTTTGGGGGGTTTGTACAGATGTTTGATTCACCTAAATCTGTCAGGTTAAGGCATTGAAGAAATATATACAGCACTAACTTTAGAGAAAAGATCTGTATTTTCATTTTTCAGTGAAAATAGTTGACTTGGTTAAAATGTGCCATGCATAGTTTTTCATTCTATCTTATATGGTAGGATGTAAACCCTTATGTTTGTAAATCGTGGCTGGAAATATTTTTTTTAATTTTGTGTGCTTTCATTCTTTTAATAGACATTTGTCTTTTCAACTATTGTCTTTCAGTTCTCCACCATAACATTCTTCATGGAAGTTTAAAGAGGTCCAGTGCCCATGCTAGGGTAATTATGAGGAAATTGTGGTCCAGAGGGGAAGGGCACCTCTAACTGGTCCACTAACACCAATTACAGCAGCAGTCTGTTTTTCCCTGAGGTCTTCCATCCCAGTATAGACCAGATACAGCCTTCCGTAGCCTCTGTAATCTAACAAGCTTGTGCTGTAGGGTAGTAACATATTGTTTGGTTCCAGATGACAGAAGATACTTTCCTCATTACTGAAAGCTGAATCTGAAAACAACAGATTAAACTGAAAACAATGGAGAAGGCAGGGAATATCTCCTGAAATTAGCAAGGCTTCAGCAGTTTCCTTTAAGTGATAAAATGACAGGTTGAAGTGTATTCAAAGGCAAGAATATTTGGAATCCTTTTAAATTGCAGCAAACTCTTTTCTCAAATGAGTCTAAAGAGAAACAGTGCATTATTTCATTTGGCCTGGCACAATTGCCTGCTGCATTAGGATTTAAAATTTCCTTCATCTATTTCAATTTTAGTAAAACATGGCAGTGCATTCAAGTGTGCATTTTTTTCATTTCTTTCAGATGTGATGCTCTGCAGGAAGCTGAACCCTCTCAGAATGATACAAGGTACAAGTATGAGCTGTAGAGCACTGTAGTGAAAAATCAGATACTTCATTGTATAAAATTATCATCATTTACTTATTAAATCTAAACTCAGCCTTTACTATTAAATACCCATCTTTTTTATTTATATTAATTAATAGCTACCTCTGTTTTATGAATGGTGTGTACAATTACATTGGGTCCCTAGTGACGATCTAGCACAGTGGAAACAACATCATACATATTGGTGCCAACTCAATGCTGACCAGGGTGAGATGGTGTGAAGTGATGTGTCACTTCATCTGGCTGAAAGCAGCGAGTAGGTTGATTTTAGAGCTAAGGCACTAAAGAGAAATTAATACTCCATAATTCTCTGAATTATGTGTACTTTTTCGTTTTGAATTATGGCACGTGTTCTCTATTTCTCTGCGTGTTCTGTCCTTGGCTATGGCATTGGAGTGCTTTATGAGCTGTGAACATGTAGATTAGATCAATTAGATAAATGGGGTATCGTGCTGTAATTGTATCCTAAACTGAGTCGTTGGGATCAAAAGTTGTAACCAAGCAATACTGAATCTCATTCACTTGCAAGAGCTTTGATCAATGAAAGTCTTGATTCTTTCCCACTCATACCTTTAGGTTTGGGGAACATGTCAAAATCTGATGCCCAGAGAGGCCCAGATATACAGTAGATCACGGAAATGCTCACTTGACACCCCAGGTAGGGTTAGTGTCAGCATTAACTCACTATACAGAATTTTTTTAAGCTCAGTGCTGGATTTTGGGGTCCAGTCAGATTTAGGGCGGGTGGTTTTTTAGTCTTATTTGATTTTTTTTTTCAGAAACTCTCTGGGGCCTGGATGGTGCACCAGTGTGGTGTATTTGTATTTAATTGCAAGAGCTTAGATCAGCGGTCTTGATTGTTTCTGACTCATCTGTTTTGGTTTGGGGAAAATGTCAAATCAGTATACCTATATATATATCAATTCTGCCTAAGCAGGCCCTGAGGGAGATCAATAAGGGTGGAAAAATTATTCGTTGTTCAATGTCATCTAAGCTTTCTTTTGCACAAGCAAATGCCATTTGCTTTGCTGCCAAATTCCCAGATGTTTACTAAATTCCTCATGTATTTATGGTAATCCATGGTGCATCTCCACAACATTGTGTTACATGTCTTCCTGTAGCACTTACAGTGACTAAGACTTGACTAGATGTCATGCTAGTTGACTAGATGCCAGTGAAATGCGGACAATAATGTAGAATGTTCAGGTTTCTTTAGTAGATGTTGGCACTGCTTAGTCAAATTAGATTGTAGTGATGAAGATGATATCAACCACTTCAGCCATTCCTTGTGGCTTGCACATTGTAAGAAGAATAGGTAGGGTGTTGGTTGATCTGTATTTTGAGTATCCAATAATTATTAGACACAAACACGCAAAACACATTTTATCAGTCACTACTGGCTTTCATTTAGCACATAGTCAATTTCAATTTTAGATACAATAGTCAAGTAAAGAGTGCTTCAGACAAAAAAAAAATATTAACAAAAGCACCAGTTGATCCCAAAGCAGAAGCTGTCTGGGACTTTTAAACTGTACACGATTTTAGATCTCCCACCTGTAGATTGATTATCTGGCTAAAACGGGATTAAAAGCAGCAAGCTAGTGCTCAGTCTTTCGATGTGTTTGAAAAGTGAGATTGTAACTGTCAACAGCTCCAGTGTGATACAGGGCAATAGGTACATATAGGACAGAGACTCCTGTCTGAACTACATTCCCCAGGAAGCAATCCTTAGTCACCTGACTAATTGGTAGAAGACAATTGGTCAGGTGATATATAAAATATGGAAGCTGTGGCATCCAAGGAACTGGCCCAACCCTGCTGGATGGAAAGTCAAGAGATTCCCAGTTGTGTGTTCGCAGCAGGAGGTTAAGTGACCAACTGATGAGCCCAGTGACATGGGCAAAAGTTTCTTTTGATCTCAGAGAGAGATTTATCTTTTGGGGTGGACAAGCAGCTTAGGTGCCTGGTTACAATTTTGGAGAGTGAAAGAAGAAGTTGAGTTAGAGCTTGGATGAAGAGCCTGGGTTTTGTTTTCTTCATTCCATGTCGAAGCAGAGTGTTTTCAGGTGCCGAGGGCCCTGAATCATGCTACCAAATGAAATGGGGGGATCAATGACATAAGGTGGCAGTGGTGGGACAGTGCCCTCTTGTGATGATAAAAAATCTTCAGCAGAAATGAATTCTGGAAATACGCTGGAATGGCTGCAGATTGTGAATGTGATCCAGCTCAATTCTAATGATGTGAGCTTTCATCATGTAAAAGAACCCTGTTTGTTTCTGGGAGTATGCCTCGGTGACTTTTTAACATTTCATATTAACCAGGAACAGATAAAGAAAGAATCACATATGGATAGCTGTTGCACAACAAAGGAGACCATCTTGTTCATGGCCATTGTTTTATAAAATAGTACAACAGACTTCCTATTTATTAAAAAAGCATTTTTACAGTGATTGAATACAACTAAACTGTAAACACATTTTCATTTCCCTGCTGAAAATGGGATTCTGATACAAACTTGGTCAAGCTTCACAGCCTGCAGAAATTGACCAGGATCTCTGGCGTGCTGCTGTGATGGATTAGAAAACCTTTGTGTCCCAGGACTGAAAATCACTTCCTTCTTAAAGATATATCCTGGTAGAGTTCTACAGTACAAAAGTTGTGAATAAGCAACTTGATTGTCTGGGCTTGGCTGAACTGTATACTGTACATATAAAACAATTCCTAAGTGAAAAGATTATGATGGGACCTGATGCAGGAGTGGGAAAACACTGACAGTCGATCTGGTGGAACAGTGGAACATCTGTCAGAAGACACAAGGGAAATCTACATGGAAGTGCATTTAAAACCACAAACAGGAGGCACTTCTTTACACAAAGTGTGGAGGGAATAATAGAACAAGCTGCCCAGCCATGTTATTGAAGCCAAAACCTTGGCTTCCTTTACGAAACAACTGGATAAGGCCCTTGTATCTTTTAGCTATTTGTTAGGAAATAAAGAAAATGAGATTGATGGGCCAAATGTTCATGTCTTGTTTGCATTCAGGACTATGTAAAAACATTCATGCACTTTTCCATTCTGTCTATATACAGTCATACAGCAACATAACACTCAAGCTTAACGTACTTCTTCCATGTCCCTCTCCTTAATAAGCATGGCAAGAGAACGGGCAGTTTTTCAACTTTGGCACCCAGGTTCTCATGCCATTGTTAAGCAATGGTGAAATTAAGGATTAAGGACCACATTACGAAGTTCCCATTATTTATTCTTTTATAGAATGTATGTATTCTCTTTTTCTTTAAACCTGGTTTAACAAGGTTTCTTGGTGCCCAGGTACTTTTGGTGATGTCCAAAACCTAAATATTTGAAAACAAAAAACTTGGAAACATTTTGACATTTTCAACTTCTTGTGAAAACCCAAGTAGTGTCAGTTCTTAACATTTCATTTTTAACTTTTTTTAAGGATTCTTCTTGTTTTGAAATCATTCACACAAAACGTGAGAACAGTTGAAGTGCTTAAATTGTAAGAGCACATTTCATTCAAGCTGAAAGAACAACCTTTTACAAAATTCTTATACTCGATCGTACCACATGAACTGTTGTTCCTCAGCAGAAAGATAGCTCAAGAGCCATAAATGACAATTTTTACCACCACTTGGAGAAAAAACCAAAATATTTTGATATGTGGACTAATAAAATGGAAAGGATTGCACCTCCATAAAAGATCATTACAGGACATCTCCTGTAATGCATAAACCAGCAGTGCAGCATTTTAAGCTATTCTGCCAAAATTGCCAGAAAAAAAGTGTCCATTTCAGCGCAAATGACAAGACCAGTTTTGAAAACAAAGTTTTAAATCTTAAAAAAATAAAACACGGTAAAGATATACAATAGGCCCAAGTTTGAAATGCATTCTTTTCAACATGGAAACGTTGACGAAATCTTCAAATTGGGTAGCCAAGCTGCTGTGGACTGACAGTGCGTTTTATCCACCTGGAAGAGCTTGAATGTAAATTGAAGGAGAGGCTTAGCGAATGGCTGAAACCGGTGGGTTTTATAAAACTGTTCAAACCCTAGTACAGTAACAAATCGCGCAAAAAAAAATGCAAAAGGAAGAAGTCTTTGGCACACAACACAAACATCTTTTTAAAAAAAAAACTAGCTAAAAATCCAAGTGATTGGCACGTGGGCCCGCTGGAGTTTGCCCTCTTCAGTGCAAACCCATGTCATCTTTTGTGGGACAGGCATGTCCGTGAGATTGCTGGCCTCCTGGGGTGGGGGGGGTTGCTAAAGATGTTCAGTACTGATCGCTCTGGGTCCCCTCCTGCTCCCCCACAGGCACACGCAGGTCTACAGCTGGGGAGGCTCGACAACTCCTGCCCTCCAGCTGTGCTGTTGTATAGTGCAAATAGGCTGATCGCAGTCCTGGCAGGTTTTCTCTGAAGGTCATTTTCGAAATGGGGATGAGGCTGTGCTCAGTTTGGCAACTGGTACGGGTCTACAAAATAGAGGAAAGAGGAGATAAACCGTGTTGCTCTCTGCGTCAGTTGCCGCTACTTTAGTCTGTTAAACCTTGTAATGATGACTTTATAGAGCCACATGCCCAGATTCATGTAATATGCCAGCAATTTTCTTCTCGATCGCATAATAAAGGGTTTATTCAAACTTAGAAATAAACTTTTCTGACAAATTCACTGTAAACATTTGTTAGTATTTGTTAGTTTTTTTCAACGGATTCATTAATTTAAGTCAAGAGGTAACCAGGGCAATGAGTTCAAGGTAGGATACACCCTGGACGAGACTCCAGTCCATCTCAGAACAGACACAGAAACACCAGGGCCAATTTTCCCAGAAGACAGCTAACCTACCACTATGTCTTTGGATTGTGGGAGAGAAATCATGCAAACACGGGCAGAACATATAAACTCCGGAAATGAACCCAGGGCCCCAGTGCTGTGAGGCATCAATGCGCATCACCCTTTTAGAAAACATGAAATTGCAAATTTGTTGTGAAGGTAGATGAGCAATAAATTAGCTGGAAAATGTTTTTTTTCCAGTTGTGAGAGCAATAAATTCTATGCTAATAAAAACACTTTTGTATTGAAAGTCTTATGATCCATGGAGAGTGCATGCTTCATTGAATGGCTCTCTTGTGCAAAATGGATGCCTTACAGAAAAGGAAAAGAAAAAAAGATGAGAAACTTACTTTTGAGGTGGTACTGGCCTGAAAAAGATAAAATAATTAATATAGAAATGTTATTGCAAAAATCATTTTACATTAAAACTAACTTCAGTAGAGTGTGTGGTATTTAATCTGACAAATAATGTACACATTTAACAAAATATCGACCACTGGCCATGGTCCTGAATTGACATATATTGAAGAAAATGCTTTAAAAGCTGCTAAGAATGGGAGTGAATCTTTTTCAGTGTTTAGTTTTGAGAGAACAAAACTTACAAAAATGTTTTAGGACATTTTTACAGTACATAATCATTTATTTTACTTTTAAAAAATCTAGTAAATGAAAAACAAGGGGGATATGCCCAGTAATACAGCCCCAGATCTAAATATCTGAACTCACTTGACTGGCTTAGCAGGGGGAATGGCAGCTACTTTGCCCACAGGTTTGGTTGCTGCAGGTGGCATCATCACCAGCAGCCCGTTGGCAGGCTTTGTGAGGACGGCTCGAGTCGGGGAGGGGTTCAGGGGCAGAGGTCTCTGAGGCGCAGAAGGCGACAGTCTGGGCTGCAGCTCCGACACCAGCTAAACAAGGCAGAAGATTTAAGAACTGGAGTTATATTGATCAGTCCCTCTTTTGTTCGGCTTCTCTTCTTTCAGTTTTTTCCTGCAAAACTCCACTCTCTAGCCATGTGGAAATAAAAGATAATCAAACATTATGGAAAGAGATGATAAAAGAAAAGTGGCTTGTCATAAAATGGTACAGTAAGTGATGGGAGAGAATCTTTTCTTCTGCAGTTTTTGCATATCCTCCTAATTTGTAATTTGCAACAAATTTAACTAACAGAATATAAATCACTGTTATAAATTAGCAACAGCAGTGGACCCACTACAGATCCATGTGGTACTCCACTAATTACAGTGATAATTAATCAGCACAAACTTTTATAAAGAGCTATGACACCAGCCATGGTTCCCAATGGAGAACACCAACACACTCATGCCCCTGAGAAACAGCTTCAGTTTTTAAACCGGGAGGCCTGTTGGTTGTACAAGTTCAAGAAGTCAAGCAGCTGACATACAGTAAGCTGTATAAATTAGGAGTCTAAAACAGTCTTTTAAATTAAATGAAAGATGCTTATAAACAAACATTTGTATCTCAACAACAACAAAAAAACTTAAGCACTTTAAAATGGTAAATCTACACTAGCCCTGTTACCAATTACACTCGTACTGATAGCCAGCTGAATTTCTGAATGGCATGTACAGTACCAGCCCCCCATCACGAACAGGGATTTCTGGAAGATACTGTGGTGGACTTACCAA